ATGTGTTTGGTTGGGGGAATGTGATATTCTCATGAGAATGAAATCCACACTCCTTCGGGGAATGTGATATTCTCATGGGAATGAAATCCACATTCCTTCGTTTGGTTGGCCGGGAATGTCATTCCCGGTAATCTTATATTACCAATAGTGGATTTTTTGGAGTATATTACTAGGAATGTCATTACCTCAATTTCCTTAGGTATTGTTGGATTACCAGCGTTTTGGACTAAAATTCCCTTAAAAAAATTTCTTTCAAAAATATTCTTATTATGTCATTGAATAATAAAATTTCTACGAAGGTTAAATTACAAATTTATCCTTAAATTATTTTAGATTAACAAAACAATCTATAAGGGTTAAAATAAAATTTTACCCTTGCATTAAACATTTTTATATTTTCAATTTTGTTAAAAAATTTATATAAATTTTATGAATTTAAATTTTTTAAATAAAAAAATATAAATATTTTTCAACTTGGTAAAAAACCAAATGTATAATAAGAACAATTTGATTAAATATACATCCTAATAATCTTTTATTCCTTTAACCAAACATAATAATCTTACATTCCTGCTAAATCAACCAAACACAAAATATAACATTTACAATAATCCTATTCTCTGATAATCTTTTATTCCCACTGACAATCTTACATTCCGTGAACCAAATTATTTTCAGATCCACAAGACTCTCTGCTCAAACTTCGAGAAATATAAGTGGGAATGCAACTTTTGCGGTACGGTACAAGACACAGCACTTTATCTACTACTCCAACTGTATTCTAAATATTTTATTTTATGAAATAATAATATTATTCTATTAACATAAAACTTTAATCTAGCTCAAACTTCAGTTATTCTAATTTTTAAGTAATTTAATTGAACTTTTTAATTAAAATATTACTTTCTTACATATGCATACATACTATATATATATATATATGGACACATATATATGAATAGTGATGTAGACAAAATTAGAAGTATATTATGGATAACATTTTAAATAATGTGGATCATGAGAATTATTTAGAGAAATATACTGAATAAAAAAAATTAAAATCTTAAATATTTTAGATTTGAATGTCATTGTACATACGCAAAATAGTATAAATAAAATTTTCATTCAAATTTTATTTAAATTTAAGTCTTATTATATGAAAAAAAAACAAATCAACTTGTATTTATAAACTTATAAATTTGAGATTAATGTAAATGATAAAAATTAAAATAAAACAAGTACAGTGGACTGACATGGGATAAGGCACCGTCGTGAAGAAAATGTGTATTGACAAATGGTCAAACCATTTCACGTACTTTACACTTCATTAATTACTACGAGCATGTTCACGTATAAATACATGCACGCACGCGTAGCCGGAAAACTCACTACTTTATTTACAACAAAGCAAAAACAAAAGCAAAAGGATGGAGTTGTACTTAAATATTTTGTGTCGGGAAGTAGATTGTACAATACAATATACAGCCTACGTGGACATGACTTATTCAACCTTTTGTACTATAGTTTTCAGCCCCTTTTAAATAAATAAGACATATACATATTGATCGGATTTACACCTAATTACATATGGATCTGGTCGGGTTGTACTAAGCTAATATATTTTCTTCTTTATTTAATGTTTAATATTGGTTGAGATGAATCAAGTTATATTAGAAGACAATGGTAACTCAAACATCTTTATTTGTAGATGTTAATGTTTAAATATGAGATTTCTAAGAGACAACAATAAATCTTTTAATTATTGAAATAGTTTGAGTCATGTTACATAATCACTTTAAACATATGACACGAATTGAATTATCATTCTAGATATATGATATAAATTATATTATCATTTTTAATATGTGACAGTCACATATTAATAATTTATAATTTTGAAAATTTAAATATATAGGGTGGAAGAAAGAGTTGAAAGCACAGGCACAACAGAGCATGGGGTTGAACAGCGAAGAAGAAAAATGGCAGTGTGGAAGCTCAGCTTTAAATGAAAAAGATACGCGTTTTGCTTCGTCTCGTGCGGTGTGGCTGACCGGTGATACTGCTGCTATGTCTGTGTGTGCACTGCCACCAAAGGCGGTAGTAAAAGGAAACACAGAGTCAGCCACTCTGGATTTGTTTAGGGTAGCGAGCTCAACTTTTTTCGCTGACACCATTCATGCAATTCGCACACTCACCACGTGTTTGATGAAATGCGAGACTCTACGATCAGCGCCATAAATGAGAAGTGACATCTTGAGTTGTTTTATATTGATTTGATCAAAGTTTATTAAATACTCAATTTGAACTCTAATTTGATTCGAGTTCTTATTGAGCTAAAATAAGTTAATTGATACTATATTTGAAAAACTCATAAATAATTTGAAAATATAATATATTAATATTTATGTGTTTATTTTTTTAAAATTAAAATATAAAGTTTTCATGTATTTAAAATTCAAGTTCTAATTTGAGTTTTAGATTTCAATCGAGTTAAGTTTAAGATTTTTTTTATTTCAAACTTTTACGAGTTTCAATTCATAATTTCGAGTTTGAATCGAGTTTGAAAATTTTAGAATCGCAAATTTTAAAGTTGAACTAATTCCATTTTAAAACTTAAATTAAACCGAACTCAACAGCACTTAAATTCGCCCTAGCTCACTTACGGCCCTAACGATGACAACTTCAATAAACTATTTTTCTTGATTAATCTGGGGTGAGAGGCAGTATCGGTTAATATTCCTATAAATTTATATATTTTGGTTAAATATTTCATTTAATTTTTTAAAAGTATTTGTTCATTTTATTTAGGGTAAACTACTCAATTGATCATTTAACTATTTAGCCTTTCTATTTTTCCCATCAATATTTCAAGTTTATTAATCACACCACATAACTATTTAATTATCTCAATCAAACTACTAACCATTAACAATTATCGAAAATAATGATGTGACAGTTAAAAAAAATTGACATAATTATACATTTAGTCATTATTATTTATATATGCTATTAATTTTGTCCTAAATTAAATAAAATTTAATAAATTAATTATTCAATCAAGATTTGACATGTGTCAACATAGATTCGTGAGACGTGTCACCATCCTATTAGAGGAAAATTAAATTACAAAGGAGGTGTAAAATTTGGGTGTTGGGCAGACTCAAACCAAGGTCATGCAATAGTGGAGTCATTGAGCTAACACCATCATTTGTGTTAATTTGTGTTAAAAGATATATATATAGTATTAATGCTACCCTCAAAATTTAAAATTAATATATGTATATTTTTTAAACTAAATTAATATTTATTTTTTCCTTTTATATTTACAATTTAATGATTATATATATAACTTTAAATTGACTATTTTTAAATTAATTAATAATTTTATTTTCTTATTAAATATAGAATGTATAGAAAATATAAATGATTCAATTTATATTTAAATGTATGAATCATTTATATTTTTGATATATTTTATTTTTCTTGTATAAATTAATATTTAAAATATGTTTATATTTTAATCAAAATATTTCAATATACGAATAAAAATATATTTATATAAATGTGTATTTATATTTAGATGTATAAATAAAAAAATATTCATATATTAATGTTTGAATCATTTATATTTTTTTGAATATTTTATTTTTAATAAGAAATTAAAATTATTAATTATATTATAAATACTCAACTTAAGATTATATATATAATCATGAATTATAAATATGAAAAATATAAATATTAAATTTAGTTTAAAAATATAAAAATATTAAATTTATTCTTTTAAAATCTTATATCAACTAATATTTAAAAAATATATATGAAATCTGTCTAACAATTTATCAAATATAATATTTTTTTATTGTAAAAAAATATAATATTTTCTTACTGTAAAAATATAATATTTTTTTATTGTAAAAAAATATAATATTTTCTCATTATTTATTGCTTTCAATTTTTTTGCCGAAGTTCAAATCTCATTATTTCCATTTTCCATTATATTTTTTTTTGGCATTGGTCATACTATCAGTATATGTATTATTGTATATCTCTCAACACAGACAATGGTGTTAGCTTAGTGGCTCCACCCTGTATCTTTCATTTGTGTGACTCAGGTTTGAGTTTGCCCAATACCCAAATTTTACTTATTTGTAACTTAATTTTTCTCAAATTAGGTGGTGACATGTGTCACCAATGACACATGTCATGATCATGTGTTGACATATGTTATATCTTGATTAAATGATTAATTTATTAAATTTTATTTAATTTAGGACTAAATTGATTGTATATATAAATAATTAGGTTGCAACATGTATCACTAATGACACGTGTCAGGACCATGTGCTGACAAATGTCAGATCCTGATTAAATGATTAATTTATTAAATTTTATTTAATTTAGGACCATATTGATAGCATATATAAATAATAAGGACTAAATATATAATAATGACAATTCCTTTCAAGTTATCATTTTTATCAACTGTTAACGATTAGTGGTTTAGTTGAAACAATCAAATAGTTATGTGATATGATTGATAAATTTAAAAGATCGATGACAAAAGTAAAAAGGACTAAATAGTTAAGTCGTCAGCCGAGTAGTTTACATTTTTATTTATACGTCAAAATAACATTTTATAAATTTAAAATTCGAATTATTTTCATCGTCTTCTATATCTTAACTACTTTTTTTAATTAAAAATTTTCTTCAACAGATAAAAATTATATTATTATATTTATATAAAAAATACGTATCACATGAAATAAGATGAAATTAAATAATAATAAATTTGTATATATATATATTTTAAATTAACCTATCAACATTCAAACTCTCTTCTGGGATTTCCGAGTGGTCATCTCCCCGTTGAAAGCAACTCATGCATGGAAGCTTCAACCACCAACTCTTTAAAGCTTTAATTTTCAATTAATAATAACAACGCTGTTTTGGGTCTTTAAATTTCTATTTAGTCGCCATTATATAAGCAACTCCAGGTACAACTTATCACTGGTAGTTTACATTTTCCTGAGAAACAAACATAGAGAAAGTGAAGGGGGAAAAAAAGCTGATATCGAAGTTAAAGCATTAACCCGACAGTACCCTTTTTTTCATTTTCGTCTATTTCCCAGATTTTATACAGTTCAAGGTAATGTTCTTTGTCCATCTCTCCTGCATTGCTGACAAATGCTGTTTTTTTTTTCTGTTGATGAAATGTACGTTCTAAGCTTATGGGAATTGCTTTTACTTAATGGTTTTGGCAGATCCGTAGCTCTTTATTTGATTTTCTTGATTGAATGAAATGATTTTTTACCCCTTTGCACTGACATTTTGAAAAATGGGTTATCTTCAACTTGTGTTTTTGATTCTCAAAAATGGCTGCTGTTCATTTATCTATCTATATATAGATATAAATGTTTAGCATATGAAATCTGAATTCAGTTTTTTGACAGAGATGGGTGTTGGTTTCTCGTGGCCATTTGATAAATGCAGCAGCACTGAGATGGACAATGGCAGCTTAGAATCAATTACTGTGAAATCCATTAGTTTTGGAGATGAAGGAATCAAAACATCACTTAGATCCATCAGTTTCAAAATCTCAGATTCAGAGCCCACCATTCTGAAATCATTAGGTTCTGGGAAGATGATTTTGGAAGGATCTGTTAGCTTCAAAGGGAGAGAATTGGTCAAGCCAGAGAGTTTAAAGACCAAAGCAATGGACATTCAATCCCCAGATTTTTTCCCGGAATCCCCAAGAAAATCCCAGATTCCAGATCCAAACAACCCACAAATGGAGGCAGCGATCAGGTTGCAAAAGGTCTACAAGAGCTTCAGGACTAGGAGAAAGCTAGCAGACTGTGCAGTCCTTGTTGAGCAGAGCTGGTATGTTACATGAATATAATGATTGAAATACATTAGTATTCGATATTTAATTTGAGTTCGAGTATCACAGACGGATTGTATGTTGCTATGTAGGTGGAAGCTCTTGGATTTTGCTGAGCTCAAAAGAAGTTCCATATCGTTCTTCGATATAGATAAACACGAAACAGCTATTTCACGATGGTCGAGGGCGAGAACGAGGGCTGCAAAAGTCGGGAAAGGTCTATTAAAGAATGATAAAGCTCGAAAGCTTGCTTTACAACACTGGCTTGAAGCTGTAAGTTGGATTTTGCAGTACTACAAATGATGTTCACCATTGTTGTTCATTATTTTGTACTAATTCGAGTTTCGATGTGTTGTTCAGATTGATCCGAGGCATAGATACGGACATAACTTGCACTTTTATTACAATCAATGGCTCCATTCTCAGTGTCAAGAGCCCTTCTTTTGTTGGTAATGTTCTTCAATTCTTTGCATACACACTTTGATTTCTGGTTTTAAGAAATTGGAACTGAAAAAGAGCATATTTGATTTGAATATGCAGGTTGGATATTGGAGAAGGCAAAGAAGTGAATATAGAGCAATGTCCTAGATCAAAGCTTCAACAGCAATGCATCAAATATCTCGGTCCGGTGAGTCTTCTCGATATGTTTTTCGGATTCGGGTGTGAATTTTATATACAAATGTGTATGACTATGTAGCACTTGTTATTCTTGACATGCACACCAGATTCGAGTATCACAGGCTTACCGGAACTATTTTCGTTTTCCATTATACAGATGGAAAGGAAGCCCTATGAGATTGTTGTGGAAGACAGGAAGTTGGTATACAAGCAAACAGGGGAGCTTCTTCAAACGACAGGAGAAAACAGCGATTCAAAGTGGATTTTTGTGCTCAGCACATCGAAGGTCTTGTACGTCGGCATGAAGAAGAAGGGTACATTTCAACATTCTAGCTTCTTGGCCGGTGGTGCCACCATTGCTGCCGGTAGATTAGTTGTTGAAAATGGTGTCCTTAAGGTATCTTTCTAAGCATATGTTATTCGGAGTCTTGCATTGTTTTTTCTCGGTGTTACTTATGTCTTATTCACATTCCATCATGTGTCATTGTGTTGAAAAAGGCAGTTTGGCCTCACAGCGGTCATTATCGACCTACGGAAGAGAACTTCAACGACTTCATCTCATTTCTAAAGGAGAACGACGTCGATCTTACCGATGTCATGGTAACAGAAAATTGGAAACAATGTGTTCATAATATTTTCATATCATATTCTGTGAATAGAACCAATGGCTGATGGATGATGCTACGTTTTGTTATGTTCAGATGGCACCCGTCGACGAAGAAGAGAGCTTCCATAGAACAAGTAACCATCTTCAATGCAATTCATCATCGGAAGACAGCTTAGAGGCTGAAGAAATCCGCGTCAAAGAGTCTACCCGGGATTTAGTCCATGCAATGGAAGAAGAAATTGGTGCAGCCACGGAAGTACCGGCAAGAACTGAATCATTTGAGGATGCCATTGCTTCAGACAATGATTCGAATCCAACTGTTCGAGGCGAGAAGATCGATGAATGCGATCGTAACATTGAAACCATTGCTGAAGAATCGATCCTTCAAAGGATTAACTCAAAGAAAGGGATGAAGTCATATCAATTAGGCAAGCAACTGTCATGCAAATGGACTACAGGTGCAGGTCCCCGGATCGGTTGTGTTAGAGATTTCCCATCGGAACTCCAGTTCAGGGCCTTGGAACAAGTGAACTTATCTCCCAGAAGCAATGGTTGTACGAAATCGTACTTTTCACCTCGATATACTAGCAGTCTAAACCCGAAATTACCCGAACCGGCGGCAGCCATGACAGAAGAAATGAGAACCCGAAGTTTGCCTATTCAATGCACAATGCCACAACGTCTACTTAAAGGGTGTCGGAATTTGAGATATGCCCCCGATGATGTTACGGGTAAATTGAATTGGAAGAGTCGTAACGTGCATAATAATCTATATAATATCTTATTTGAAAAAAATCAATGAATGAATTAAATACTACTAATTATAAAAAATATATATATTTTTTATCATTCTCTCCGAAACTTAGAAATGATGCAAAACTATTTATTCATTTGTTCATGTGTAAGTTGACAACTGAAATCATAATTGTAGGAGTTCCTTTTTCAAAATGTAGAAGAATGTAATTTTGGGGGATGTGTAGTTTCAATTGTATTCAAATATAATATTTTTATTAAAAATATATCAAATTTCTCTGTGTTCTTAAAATTTATTTTTATTCTTTAATTTCGTTTTTCAATTACGTAGTTATATATCCGTATGCTCTTTTTTATTTTATTTTAATTTATTAGACATTTTTCCTAAATAAACCTAATTTGATCTTTCCTTTAATTCTAATTAATGTGTGCGGCCTTCATTTGCTTGCACGCTCATCCTCTCTCAGCCGCAACAAGAGCACAAACAAAACAAACTGAAAATCGGCAGCCATGGACGTTCTCAGAGCTTCTTCCGCAATTGTACCCGCACCATTCGTTCCAACGAACAGTATCCAGTTTCACAAGCCAATCTTTCACAATTTTCTCTCAAAACCCGTGTTCAATCCATCTTTCAATCCTCTTCGCACAACCCCATCGAGGTCCAGGTTGTTTACGACCTTCTCGTCGTCCCCAACGACGAAATACGTCGAGCCACCTCAACCGGAAGTCGAGGTCGACGGTGGGGAAGAGAAATTCGATTGGTTCTCGCAGTTGTACCCGGTGATGCCGGGGTGCGATTTAGATAAAACGGCGCCGCATGCAAAAAGGATACTGGGACTTGATCTCGTGGTGTGGTGGGATAGAAATGACGGTGAATGGAAAGTGTTTGATGATACTTGTCCTCATAGATTGGCTCCTTTGTCCGAGGGAAGGATCGATCAATGGGGGAGATTACAGTGTGTGTACCCTGGTTGGTGCTTTGGTGGAAATGGTGACTGTAAAATCATTCCTCAAGCTCCCCCCCGATGGACCACCGGTAATCCCTTTTTCTTTCAATCCATATCCATCGTTCTAATGGTAGAATTGTTGGGAATTTTCTGGGTTCGTTTTTCCATACATATGAATGATATTAATGTATTCAAACTTGATATTTAAGCTTGAGAATAGTTCTAGTATTGAAGTTGAAAATTCGATTATATTAGTGGAGACCTTATTTAAGTGGCATCAAGTTCCTTATAACTCGCAATCCAATAAACATTTAGAAACTAGGCTCTGACGGATCCATTAAGGCTCGAGTGTAGGGAAGTGTACACTAAATTTGAATTGTTTTTGGGTAATTTCATATTTATTGTCTTTAAATTTTATTTGTGTCCAGTGTACAAAAATTTTATGTTATAAATGTATATGTGTGCGAACCCTCAAAAATATTTTTTGGATCCGCCATTAAATCTAAGTTATGTGCAAGATCTTTTTCCTCTAGCACTTCTGTCCATCTTTTGTTTATACATATCAGGACATAGTTTGGATATTCTCCTGTGCAAACGCGTGGAAATATATATTATGAGTTAGGATTACATGTTCTGTTGGATTAATTGAGTTTAATGAATCAGATTAAAACTTATAATTTGAGGATAATTCACTTTTTTACCTGAAAAATCTCTTCATTTACTACTGTTAATATGGATTATCCTTAATTTATAAGTTCTATTCTCAGCCATTAAACTCAGTTAATCCAATGACCCAAAAAAAGATGTGTAAATTATAAAAGTTTTACACTGTGTAAGTGAATCCTAACTCATATATATATATATATATATATATATATATATATGCATATTTGTGTTAGACAAATGATATTCGTCGCTCATCACTCAAGTTCAGTTAACATATTGTTTCTTTTCGTACAATGTTCAATTTGTATAATTGTTCATGCTTGGTAATTTCTTGTGATGTGTAGGTGTTTTGTGTTATTTGCAAAAAGGGGTAAACACTTAACCTTGCTTTCAAAGTTGCAGGTCCATACATTCAAGAAAGCACGTGTTGCGGTTTATCCGAGCACTGTAAAGCATGATATTTTGTGGGTTTGGCCAAATGCTGATCCTCATATACAAAGATATTATAACGAAGAAAAAGCCCCCTTATATTCCAGTATTGGAAGATCCTTCATATACAAAGTCGATGGGAAACAGAGATATTCCTTTACGGGTATGCAAATTTCTCTAATATGTGCGGAACACGGAACAAAACATCATCAACATTAGCTGAAATTTGTTCAAGAAACTAACTTTGCATTTTCAGGTACGATTTGTTGATCGAAAATCTTATGGATCCTGCTCATGTTCCATACGCACATTACGGATTAATGCGAACTCGGAAAACTACGGGTAAGAAGTTCTCGATGCATTTCAAGATGTTGGATTCATGCATCTCAAAATTTGTACATTTTGGTTCACAGTGAAGGTTGACAGAGAAGGGGGCAGACCACTTGATATGCGTGTCAAGAAGTTGGACATAAATGGTTTCACTGGAAAGCAGGACTGGGGCAGTTCCATCTTTATCGCACCTTGCATCTTTCATGCTTTTGCTGATGATGAGTCCGAGGTTGATCAAGGGAATGGATCTGCAACATCTTCCAAAATCCAAAAGGTTCTACATTCATTTCACTATGTTGCTATTTACCATCTGCTAGTTATTGGTGTGTTTGGTTTACGGAATGTAAGATTACTAGTGGGAATAAAAGATTATCAGGGAATAGGATTACTGGGAATGTTGTATTTTGTGTTTGATTGGCTTAGCAGGAATGTAAGATTACCGTGTTTGGTTAAAGTAATAAAAGATTATTGGAATGTATATTTGACCAAATTGTCCTTATTATATATTTATTTTTTTAACAAGTTGGAAAATATTTATATATTTTCTTTAAAAAATTTAAATTCATAAAATTTATATAATTTTTTTTTACAAAATTTAAAATATAAAAAGGTTTAATGAAAGGGTAAAAATTTTATTTTAACCCCTGAACTTCATATAAAATTTTAATTATAGACTTTTTTGTAAATCTAAAATAGTTTAAGGATAAATTTGTAATTTAACCTTCGTAGAATTTTTATTATTCAGTGACAGAAGAATTATATTTTTGAAAAAATAATAAGGGCATTTTAGTCCAAAACGTCAGTAATCCAACAATAACTAAGGAAATAGAGGTAACGACATTCCCGGTAATATACCCAAAAAATCCACTATTAGTAATTTACATTACCGGGAATAAAATTCTCGTGCTAACCAAATGGGGAATGTGGATTCTATTCCTATGGGGAATCCCATATTCTCCCATCCAAACACCCCCCTATTGGTAATGTAAGATTACCGGGAATGACATTCCCGGCCAACCAAACGAGAGAATATAGATTACATTTCTATGAAAATCTCACATTCCTCCAACCAAACACACCCATATAACTTTTTCTAATTCTCAATGTAGGAGCGTAAGATAATGGAAATCGGGGTTACCAATTGGCAAAAAGCTTGTTTTGTGCCTACAAAGTCAGATGCCTTTGTGGTTGGTTTTCGAAGGTGGTTCAACAAGTATTCCGGCAGCCGGGTTGATTGGAAAGGGAAGTTTAGCGCAGCTCTTCCTCCATCCCCTTCTAGAGAACAGCTGATGGACAGGTAAATTTAGTAACTTCGTTATAATGCTCCGACTCATCACTAGTTCCCGTGTCATACACCTGCGTTAGGCGTATTTCTGAACACGAGTATGAATATATATCCTTCCAAATTGTAAAAGAATGAGCATAGCCGATAAACATAAGCTTACAAACTTGACTTTTATTCGGAATCGTGCAGGTACTGGACTCATGTGGTGAATTGCAAGAGTTGAAAAACTGCATATAAAGGTCTCAATGCACTGGAAGTAATCCTGCAAATCGTATCTGTTGTTTCCCTCGGGATCGTTGCCGCAACAAAGCAGAACATGATGCCGATGGTGGCTAGAACAGCGATTGTTTCAACAGCTATCATTTGCTTCGCAGCTTCAAGATGGTTGGCTCATTTCATCCAGAAGAATTTTCCATTACCATGACTATAATCATGCTGTTGTGTAAATTTGATGTTAACCCTTTACTTCGACTGTAAGCTAAAGCAAGTTTAACTTTTTTTTTCTATACCAACAATGATTAGAAATTAAATATACGTATTTTACACGATTATTTTGTGATAAAAATCCGAAATCTCTGGATTTTAATGCATTATTAAAGAGGATGAAAGTGAAGTGTAAACTACTAATTCTGCAATAACCAACAGCTCCATCCTTTTTGCTTCAATTCAAAGCTTTCTGGACAAGGAGCCCACACCAAACATTTATCTTTAAAATAAACTCGTCCAAATCTCATTTCTCTTGTCTTTTTTTTTTTTTTTGAGTTTTTCCCCTCTGTCGGCTGCCATTTTATTCTTCAAAATACAGCAAAGCTAGAGCCCCATTGAACGATTCGCATGTAAGCTTCTTTCTTCTCTGTTTCGTTACTGTAATCAAGATCTGATTAGTTTCTGCTACTGGGTTTTCAAAAACAAGCAAAACCCATGAAGTAATCATCTTAGTTTCTCGTATTTGCTATTGAATTTTGTTTGTTTGTTTGGTTTACCTGGAGATCTGGTTCGTTTTCTGGAATTGGGTTTTCGAGGATAATGAGGAAACCCACCAAGGAATCTGAGCTGAGCACCGAGCCAATCGGACAGAACCTGATAAAACTGATAAGCAATGTGTGTTTCTCTGTGTTTGTGTTGTCGGTGCTCATATTCACAGCCATTGCCATCACTTACCAGCCCCCAGATCCATGGCTGGAATCAGCACCTTCCTTAACTAAGCTCTTCACTCAAACTGAAAATGCCACTTTCAAAACCGATGACTCCATCATCAAAACCGGTGAAGATTTGCTTTCTGTACCGGCTCCGGCAGTTCCCCCGGCTTTATCGGCAACACCCTCCGATTTGGCGGCAACGCCCCCTGCTATGGAGGCCACTCCCCCGGCTTTATCAGCAACACCCTCCGATTTGGCGGCAACTCCCCCTGCTTTGGCGGCCACTCCCCCTGCTTTGGCGGCCACTCCCCCCGCCTTGTCGACAACACCCCCTGCTGTGTCGGCATTGCCTCCTGTAGTGTCGGCATCGCCCCCTGTTTTGGCGGCAGCTCCCCCGGTTTCAGTGGCAATGGTCCCTGTTTTGGCGGCTGCACCCCCTAGTTCAGTGACAATGGCCCCTGCTTTGGCACCCAATCCCGTTGCTGAAACCATGATTGAGATGTCCAAAGAGAACATCTCAAATTCGAGCTTCAAATCCGTCTGTGAGGAGTTAAAAGCTGTGAATTGCTCGGATCCTCGGTTTCTTCTCGCAGTCAAGAAATTCAATTTGAAAACTTTCAAGTCTATTGTATTCTTGGAGTATCAAACTCCGGTCAAGGGGACAAAACCGGATGAATGTGATGTTTTTTGGAGGTTTAGGAACAAGAAAGAGAAGTCTTGGAGAAAGTATAGGGATTTCCGAAGGTTCCAGTTCGGGATCGGTGAGAACTGTACCTATAAGGTTATGCATACTGGTCGGTGGCATTCGGGAATCAATGCTAGGCCACCTCGGATTCGGCCTAACACCACAAGGAGTGGTGGCGGGAACTGGAAGCCGAAGCTTGCACCACCTGTACGGGACGATGAGACAAATGATACTGTTCCGACTTTGGGTTCGGAAACGAACTTTAGGAAAGGGAAGTATCTGTACTATGCAAGGGGAGGGGATTACTGCAAGGGAATGAATCAGTACCTGTGGAGTTTCTTGTGTGGTTTAGGGGAAGCTATGTATTTGAATCGGACATTTGTGATGGATTTGAGCTTATGCTTATCCGCGACTTACAGTTCGAGCAACAGAGATGAGGGGGGAAAAGATCTTCGGTTTTATTTCGATTTCGAGCATCTTAAGGAGACGGCGTCCATCGTGGGGGAGAGCGAGTTCTTGAGAGATTGGAAGAAATGGGATAAGGAGCATAAACGAAAAGTGCCTGTGAAGAAGATAAAGACCCATAAAGTCACACCAATGCAACTGAAGAAAGATAAGAGCACAATCATATGGAGGCAATTCGATGTTCCGGAGCTGGAAAACTATTGGTATCGGGTGTGTGAGGGGCAAGCAGCTAAGTACATTCATCGGCCTTGGCATGCGATATGGAAATCGAAGCGATTGATGAATATCGTGACCGAGATCAGCGGAAGAATGGACTGGGATTTCGATGCTCTGCATGTGGTTCGAGGGGCAAAAGCACAGAACAAACAGCTTTGGCCGCACTTGGATTCCGATTCGTCCCCTGATGCAATTCTCACGAAGGTTAAAGAAATGGTTCAGCCATGGAGGAACCTTTACATCGCGACGAACGAGCCGTTCTATAATTACTTCGATAACTTGAGGTCTCATTACAAGGTCCATTTGCTCGATGACTACAAGGAACTATGGAGTGACAAGAGCGAGTGGTACAACGAGACGACGATGCTGAACAACGGGAATCCGGTTGAGTTCGATGGATACATGAGAGTTGCCGTGGATACCGAGGTACTTTATCGGTCGAAGATCCAAGTAGAAACCTTTTATAATTTAAGCAGAGATTGCAAGGATGGAATCAATACATGCTGAATAGGTTATTTTGTGCCTTGAATTCGTTCACACTGCTTGTTATGCCTTTAAATTCCTTGATTTTGTTGTAAAATGTAATTTGGTTGAAATTAATTCAAGCATGCTTTGTTATTTTTTTCTTTTATTACTATTAATACGTGTTTAGATATATCAAATCATTTCAATATTTTATATGCATGAATTGTTAAATCCAAAAATATTATTAGTACAAAACTTATAAAAAAAATTATGCAAAAATATTTATTTTGATGATTCGATTTTAATCCTCCATTGCTGAGATCTCTATAACCCTATCCTTTTCTCTATCTTCTGAATCTGGTTGAGGAAAATCCAGGTCATCTGCATAACAGAACATTTCGGATCTGTGTATGGATACTTCCCCCCGGCATCGGGCTGCCTCTTCTGGATCTGTGTTTTCACGTAATCAAAAGGTAAACTGCAAGCTGAAGCAAAGAAGCCCGAAACCGCACTTGCACCTGAGACGAAGAAAACGAGAAGCATTCATCGAGTGTCGAATCGTCATCGTACACTATGATTATGCTATTGGACTAACACAGTGAATGTCTGATTCTAGACGCTTACCTACCACGGTTGCGGCTTCACCTAAGCCGAGGGAGTCCTTAATGAACTCGACACTTTGATCATAAGATGCAAGCATCCCCATGTTCAATGCCATGGCTTGGACTACGGTCGGTCCTGCACCTTTCCAAAGTGCAAGAACCCCTTCGACGCCAACGATACGATAAAGAGCATGGAATGCATTCGAGTAATTCCGGCGCTGAGCAGCCGACAAAGTTGCATCGGCTTGCATACGGATAAGTGCCAAATCCGCAGGGCTTCCGAAGCAGGCTCCAATAGCACCGGCAGTCAGGCCACACAATGCCTTCTGATATAGAGGTAAGGGCTTCCCATCATTGGCTTCCATAGCCTTGGTCGTCAGCATCCTGAAGAAAAAACAATCGAAAACCGATCAGAATTGAGGCCGATAATCTGAGTTTCGGAAGCAAACAACAGAATCAATGCCATTCATAAGAGACTCACTCGAATGATCTGAGTCAAGCGGTAGTGTATGTAGCTTGCCTGAGCAGTCCAGCTGATAATCCTTGCACAGAACCATTAACACACATTCAAATCCGAGTAACATAACAAATATCGAATCGAACAAAACAGATTCGAACAAGATCTAAGCAAAATAAGAACCTTGTAAAATGCGCCAACGCCCTCGTTTTGAAGCATGTTCTTGGTTACAGATGCTGCTGATCCTTGACCGAGTTGGATTCTCACCTACACCAAACGAACCATTAATCAATCAATCAAACAAATCCAAGCAAAACCCAGATTTTAAAAAACAAAAAAACACCCATCAATGGGATGATCTAGAAGAAATGGTGGAAATGAACCTTGATCATACCAGAGGTGCCACCATTGATGAAAGGCTTAACCTTTGGCCAAACCCCAGCTTGGGATGTCTTCTCATTTGCCATTTCTTTTGATTGAAAACCAAAAGGTAATTGAAAAAACACAGAAATGGTGGAAATGAACCTTGATCATACCAGAGGTGCCACCATTGATGAAAGGCTTAACCCATCAATGGGATGATCTAGAAGAAATGGTGGAAATGAACCTTGATCATACCAGAGGTGCCACCATTGATGAAAGGCTTAACCTTTGGCCAAACCCCAGCTTGGGATGTCTTCTCATTTGCCATTTCTTTTGATTGAAAACCAAAAGGTAATTGAAAAAACACAGAAATGATCCACTGCTTAGAGCTTCTGGTTTTCGTTTTACTGAAATAGAATGGCTGAAAGAAGAGGCCTTTTCAGTATACTTGTTCTTGTACAAACAAACCTTGTTGTTAGTTACAAATAATGGCTTAATTCAAAAGTAAGTACCTAGAGTATACCTTACTTTTCATTTAAGTACCTAAAATATTTTTTTGATTGAAATACTATACAAACTTTTTCATCTAGGTACTTGCAATATTTTTTATATTCAATACCATTAGATGGTAAACTTTATATGCTTATTCTGATAAAAAAAATATTTTACATAACTAGAGAAAAATGTGGTATATTTTGTACCTATTTTTGAAATTAAGTCATAAATGATTAATAAATTAAATTAAGGTCTAATTATGCTCTCAGTCTTTGTACTCTTTAAATTTATAACTTAGTCCTCTACTTTAAATCATAGAATTTTAGTTTAATTATGAGACCTTTGACATGTTTAAACCTTGTTCATTATACGAAACACAGTAAACTAAAACACTGGAAAAGCTTTAGTGAAACCACCATCAAAGTTGGAAACACCACAGGAACAGCATATGAAGAAGACAGTAAAAATCCAGGAGCTTAAGAAGCAAATCAGAATGCTGAAGCTTTGTTCGGACAAGACGAAGTTGGTGGCGAAGAAGGATATCGCAGATGAGAGCGTTGTTTCAGCATCATACCCTCGTAAGGGTATACTCGTATCTGAATATGTGTCGGACAAGTATCAAGATTCTTCTTTATTAAAGGGTACATATAATATCATCATAAACCAATTTGAGACAGGTAGAGGAACAAGTAGAAAAAGTTGCATAATCTCTTTGTAATCACTTAAACCTCTGTTTTATGACTGAACAATAATGATACAGAAGGAAGATGTTGGAGAAACATACAAAATGCGGACATGACACAGTTCATGTTTCGATGAGTGTTTCGGGTCTGGTTCTGGAAGGAAACTAGTATATCATCTCACAATTGGGTTGATTATAAGCATCCTGGAGTTGGTGAAAGCCTATATAATGCTTTCGAATCACGAACTCTTCAAAGCCGATAACGCTTCCTTTGTTGTAGCTGAGATGACTGCATCCGAAGCATTTGGCAAATAATAATACTTCCCTGCAAGATTGAATCAATGAGACACCATTTCATTGCATTCCGTATGCATAAAAACGAATACATGTTTCTGCCTACGCACCTTGAGCTACTCGAGCAATTTCCTTGGCGAAACCAGTTGAAACAAACTTGTTTTCGGTATCAATGACAAGAAGAGACATTCCCGCTTTGTATATTTTCGCGGACACTTCAAGAATCTCGTCCTGCAATATTTATACACACGAACCTTATGAAAATCATTTGGTCAAACCCAGATAACATCCCAAAACCTTCATGTGTATCTTTCCGCCCGTATTGCTAACAAATGAAGGGTTCAGCATGACGATTAAGTCTATATTTTGATAGCACGTCCAGTAAAGGCCGACAATTGTTAAAATTATGATTAGCTCGATAGAAGATTAGCATGTCTTTTACAGTCATAATGATGTTATCCCTTGATAAAAAGCCAAAATTTACCTTCAACTCTTGTGTTGAGGGTTTAGGAGCATCAGAAGCAGCGGCTTCCGGATCGGTGGACCGCTTCAGTGATATGTTGGCTCTTCCATCGGTAATTGCAACGATCATTATGCGTCCAACATCACCACTTTTCTCTGCATTCAACCCAACCCTGACTGCCTGATAATGTTAAAGTTCATGAAGTTATTAGAAAAGGGAACTAAATTTATTTTATCGGCATTCACAACAGTAACATTTCAAATTCATATAAAAATATACAGAGAAAACGAATTTTTATCGCTACAGTAAGATCCTCGCCACATATTGAGGGATTCTGTATATCTGCATACCATGCTTAAACCATGAGCTAGGGGAGAGCCACCGCCACATGGAAGTCTCTCGAGACGTTTTCTTGCCATTGCGATTGATCTCGAAGGAGGCAGCAGGACTTCAGCAGAATCTCCACGGAAAGGTATAATGGAGACCTAGTCGGCATTACAAGCAAAATGAAACAAATTATTACAAAGAAACATTCATGATGGTTTTATTACATCAGTGTCGACGGATTTGTTTTTGAGGAACAGTTAAGAACTAGCAAGGGTTGTACGCTTAAAAGCGCGGAATGAAACTGTCTTGTTTACCTGATCTCTGCTAGTATAACTCTCGGCCAGTAACTTAAGTGCAGCGCCTTTAGCATTTTGCATTCGATTCAATGCCATGCTCCCACTTGCATCAACCACAAATATTACCTGACACGGAATATATATGTATGAACTCCAAACATAACAATAGTTTATCATTACTCGAATGGAATTTACTTTACTCAAGAGAGAGTTCCCGGTTAAAACGATTGGATACATAAATAACGACGAGGTACGCAGAAATACATAGGAACTAGAAGGTATTTATTGCTAGATACACAAAGCCAATCATAGATGTAAACAAAAGTAGCTCATAGATACCAATGCTCCTGCTTTTCTTGCCATTCTTTTAGCCCTCATGTCGGTTTTCTCCACGAAAACTTTCCGACTTTTGTGAATGTCTTTCTCGCGCCGCAACTTTTGATATGGTGCGGCAGCTCTTAGCGTTGCATCAACAGCTAGTCTCTTCACAGGGCCCTGTGAAAAAAACAACGTAGCTTATTCGAAAAATGAAGTTAAGATTGGGTAAAAATAATGTAAAGACGATTTGAAATAGACTAACCTTTGGGAGCATTGGTTTAATATATCGACCTCTATCCTCGGAGAATATTACATTCTTGGCTCTTCCAGCTTTCCCCCGTCGCCTCTGTGCTTGTTGTGCAAAGAAAAGTAGTTTCTCGTCCACCAAACCCCCTTCGGCGTCGAAGATAAATTCTTCAGGTAATTGCTCAGGTTGCTCGTTCTCCTGATCACTTTCATCCTGTTGTAGACAAAGCCTCACAGTTTCAGTAAACCAATTTCACCAGTAAACAAAGCCTCACAACAATAAATGAATGACGACATTTATCAAGGAACAGCAGATCTTGGTGCTTAATGACAACATACCTCTTCCTCTTCCTCCTCATTCTGCTCCTCCCCGGATTCTTCATTTTGAGGAGGTGGAGGTGGAGGTGGCGGCTGTTGGTTTTGTTGATCGGGAGGATTCTCATTGATAATCGAACGAGGGAGGATGACAAGCTCCACCTGTATTATATAGTATATCAACACAAATTCATTTGCTACTTTTCTAGTTTTCTGCTTTCATGATACAGACAAATCCCGGTAGCTATGTCAAGAGGCAAAATCATAATACTTAACAGCTTTTTTCAGGTCATCTACGCCGACTCGGTCCCGTCCTTCCAAAGCAGCCAAGCATTTTGCAACCTTAGCAGCATATAGCTCAGCTCTGTGTCCCTGTAAATCGTCGGAGTATTAATTATTCCCCCGTAGTGTGATTAAAACAAATATCTCACAATCTATATCAACATTATATCTTAAAAGGGTGCACTTTGAATGGTGCATGAAACGTGAGAAATTATGATTTGATCTTAGCACCTGGCAACCACCCCGAAGGGCTTCCATAACGAGGTACTTTAATTGTTCCCGGCCAACAGTGACGTCTTTCAAATACTCTCTCGCTAAAATGATCTGAGGAAAAAAATGCACAGAAGGAATAAAAAACATCTTTCTAAATGCATATGCACATCAAATAAACAAAGCTCAGAATCGAGTCAGAAAATTTGAGTAGCAGCACGATTTGATGGAAAATGTGAAGCTTAACAGCTGAATGCTTGGTTACCTGAGTCCTTGCATCCTCGGTTGTTTCCTTAACCATTTTAAAAACTTTATCGCTAGCTTCCTGAAATTCTGTTGCAATACCAACTGCCGCAACACGATCCTCAAAGTTCATTGGAAGATCTGCACTGCAAAGGAAGTGTGCCCATAATAGTTTGGGATAGATGCATAGAAACTAAGAAACTCATTCCATCATCTACAATAAGAGCTTTATACCTCAAGTTAATTGCAATTCGATCTAATAAATGTTCTCGTACGGCACCTTCTTCCGGATTATAGGTGGCAATTAAAAGCGGTTTACAAGGGTGCTTGAAGCTGATTCCCTCTCTTTCGACGATATTAACTCCGTCGGTCAGCACATTGAGAAGCAAATTACTAATGCCCTCATCAAGAAGATTAATCTCATCAACATATAATACACCTCTATGTGCTTCCGCCAGGAGGCCGGGCTGAAAAACAGTTTTTCCCATTTTCACAGACTCCTCGACATCAACAGATCCAATGAGTCTGTCCTCCGTGATTCCAAGCGGAATCTAGAGAAAAAGCAATGAAAAGGGGCATTAAGAAAAATAAACCAAACTCGATAAGAAAAGTTTTCAAGCACGAAATATACCTGAACGAAAGGAGACCGAACAACTTGAGTCTTAACATTGCCCTTGGAATCATACTGGACTCGCTGAACTAAACCATCTTCCCACCTTCAGAGGTTATGAATACCATGTCACTATCTTGGAAGTAATAAACACGTAAAACTATGTCCAATAGGAAAGGAAAAGCTCAATACATACATATATATGTGTGTATATACATCCAATTAAGAACCACCAAAGTATTAATGAGAAGATAAGAGGTAAAAGGGTTCACTGTTCATACTCATCTGAGCAGGCAGGGTCTGCATTTGCCATGGAACCAACAACAACATCAATGGGAGGCAAAATTGCGTGCAATCCACGTGCCATTACAGTCTTGGCTGTTCCACGCCTTCCAGAGATAGCAATCCCTCCAATCTCGCGATCAATAGCCCCAAGTAAAAGTGCAGTTTTAATGGCATCCTATGTCACAACAGTTGAGCATTAGATTTTTTTACTTTTGATTCAAATCCATACCATAAAAATTATACCTTTGCAGTGAAGTAAAGAAGCAATTTTTAAATAAAAAAAAATAGTAGCAAAGCATGTAATTTTCCTTCAAATTCCTAACCTAACAAAGGAGGAGATAGAGAAAGAGATGAAAAGAAACCTGGCCAACGACAGCAGCCAAAGGGAAGTACCGTCTACCGTAAGAAGACGAAGGGTCCTCAGATTCAGTATCAATGGCGGCCCCATTGCTCGAGTCTAGAGCAGTATCTGAGACAGCAAGAACACGAAGAAAACGAGTTCTGCTTTGGCTTTGAAATCGTTTCTTTGGGTTCAAACGAGAAGAAGGGAAGAAGAGAAAAGGGCATGGTTTAGATATGGCGGAAGGTGATTGAAGCTGAAGATGACACAGAGAAAGTGATGAACAAGTAGTCGCCATAGCTGAAAATGCCATTGATTTTTCAACAAATAATCAATGGGAGCTTTTCTTTTATCGTTTTTTTTAGAAAAAAAATTCTTTCTTTATCTCTTACATAATCTCGTAATCTAATCTTTCTGTTTTGTTCTGCTTCTTCCATTGTCTACTGCAATTCCTTTTTAACTCTTCCCTTCCCTTGGTCCAACGGCTCCTCACGCGCTCAATGTGGCGCGTATCCAGCACAATTTATTTTATACTTTCCTTTATGAAAAGCAAATAAATAACATCCACAAATAAATTTCATATATTAAAGGGTAAACCAAATACAAGCTTTGAATCGTATATCATTTATTATATTTATTCTGTCCCAATAAATATATTTATTATTGATTTTAGAAAGTTAAAAATTTTAAACTCATTACGATTATTTTAAATATTTTAAATAATTAAATTTGATAAAATGTACATTTAAAAACTACTTGATTTAAGATTTTTAAAATATATATTTTTTATCAATAATAAAATTTAAATATTAACGAATCAAAATTAAAAAAAATTGACTAAAAAAATCAACAACAGATAGATTTAACAGGACAAAAGAGTAGTATTATTGAATTTTAGTTTTACCTTTAATTCTAATAATTTATTAGTTAAATTTCAACATAACGTTGACATATCTTTATGCTATTGTGATGGTGAGAATGAAATAATATTTTTTGATTGATGTCTAAAATGATATCGTTTTATACATAAAATTTTAAGCAATTTCATTTTAGGTGTTGTATTTCTTTAATAATCATCGTAGTTGATCATTGTCCATCACTATCTTATGCAACAAGATCAATAATACCAAAACATTGCATTTTTTTTCAAGATTTATTTTATACGAACTACTCTCAATCTTCATTTATTTATAGGTCATATATTCCGGACATTTTCTCGGATGATTACTGAAATACAACCACGCTTGGGATGGTTTTACTTTTTGAAAGCATCGATCATTTAAGCTCATTCAAAGTTCTAAAAACTTAAATAAGATGGAGAGTAACCATAATTTTAAAACTGCTCCATATTTAGAACGAGGACGGAATCCCCGACAACTGATGAAGGAGCTCCTCTTATTCATAGTTGACACAATCCGAACATGTCATCGGAAGATTATTGAAATACAAACACACTTATATAAAGCATCATCAGTTCGAAACCCAGATGAGTGCGTCTTTAACAAGGAAATGACAGATGGGAACAGTACCGGGCTTGACTTTGAGAATCCGAAATGCCATGTGTTTGGGGTTCCAAGCTGATGTATCTTTGTGACAAACCGCCAAAGCATTCGCTTTCGTCCCATCTCTGCCCACCAATGGAACCTTATACACCGTTGTTTTGTCGATGGAATGGCACAAAAACACGGCTCTCGGATACTTCATCTTGTGACAGACGAGCTCGTTTTCTCCCATGTCTTGCATTCCCTTGGCGATTATAAACAGTGAGTTGTTTGTTTCTTTCGAGAGCTCGGTTGATAGAAGCTGGATTTGTTTCCCGAGGTGTGAGATGCTTGAATCTATGAAGGATTCTAATGATGTGGCGCAGAACTTGTCTTCTCCCTTCATGGCTACTCTTTCACAGCCTTTGACTGTCTTGCTTATGAGGTTGGCTTCCTTTGTTTGAGGTCTTACGGAGAAGTGGTTCAAGATTTCGGGCAATTCGTCGCTTGAAAAGGGTATCGACTTGGCCACTCGGTCGTGCAGAAATGGGGTTTTGTCGCTTGTTGTGAGAGCTGGTAACTTCACCAGCTTACCGGAGCGGAGATCCTTCGGGAAGAAGAAGACAGTTTCATCGACGTTATTGCCACTCCCATCATCATTATTTGCCCGAAATTTGTTACTACTCTCAGAGCTCCAAACATAAAATGCATCTCGGTTATCTCCTCGCAGTTCGTTACTACGTTCAGAACTCCAATCATAAAAGTGTTGACCCTCGTTATTTCCTCGCGGTTCATCACTCCAATCATAAAACACTCGCAGTTCATCACTCCAATCGTAAAACATGTCACTTCCGGTTCGATAGCTTTTACCGCTCCAGTCATAAAATTCCTCATCATTTCCCTGCGAATTGTTGTCAATACGCTCGAGTCCCCGATCATATTTTGCCGCCGGTAAGATATCTTTCAACGCCTTTGGCATTGAATTGTTTGGGAACACTGAGTTCCAATAAGCTTCCTCCGGCACAACACCATGCCCTCCTCCAAATGCGATCTGATAAAAGGAATTGAAATACGATGATGAGATTCGAATTTAAAATATGATTGTATGAATCAATTTATTAAATTTAAAGTTCAAATAACTGATGTAAAAATGAAGCTCACGTGGAGTAAAGCAAAGACGAGAAGGAAATGAAATGCCATTGAATGTAGAAATGATGGTACGCTTGTTTCGTGTTTGGTATGAAAATGGAGCACTGAGGTACACTTATATATACCCATGCATGGAGCTTACATATAGGCCTACCAAAGTCAACTTTCATTGAAATTGTCGACATTTATGACATCGAAAATAAGGAGAGAATGTCCGAGATAAATAGTACTAAAAACCTAATAGCACAAAAGTTTATTAACCATCATTTATCATCAAGTGATTTTAGTAATAAAATACATTATTTTTCAGAAGATTCAAATTTAAATGTTTGTGCTTATAAGATATATACGTATGGTTAATGAGATTACATTAAACTTGAAAGATTAATATGATAAAACCGAACCAATAAAAGAATATGGGCATCAAGTATTTTTTATCGTTAAATTCCTTGTGTTAATTACTAGGTTTTTTTGTTCTTCCAACAAGATAATTCGATTGTCGGATTTACCTTTGACTTTAGATTACATATTATATTTATATTTTTACATTGTCTGAGAATTGTTTTCTTTAAAGCTGTTGTTTTTATTGCTCGGTTTCAATACGTCTTTTTGTCGGATTTTTATGTTTTATAATTTAATTTTAGCTTAAACGAAAAAAAAGTGGGCAACGTATGCTTGTTTTTTTAATTTGATGCCTAATGTTTTTTTGTTTCAGTTTGGTGTTTAACGTTTTATTTCGTAATTCAGTTTCGGTTAGGTAGTGACAAATCGTTAAATATGGTCGTTAAGTGACACGTGTCACAACCTGGTAATTTAAAAAAAATATTTAAAATTATAAAAAAATAAACTCTTATATAAAATAACACAAATTTTGAAATAAAGCAAAAACTTTAAAAACCTTCATTTGAACCCCTAAACCCACGCCGACCACCGCCTTTTGCCATCAACGAAGCTCCAACCGATCTCCCATTCCCCGACTACCAAAATCCCTATGAAATTGTGACCGATCGACCTTCGAAATTGTGTGGGATCACGGTTTTTATCCTAGGGTGCACGGAATATAAAACGTTGATTCGTCATCGATTGGTCGTCGGTCGATCATGATTTCATTGGGGTTTTGGTCGTCGAGGGGATGGGAGGTCGGGTGGAACTTTGTCGATGGCAAAAGGCGGTGGTTGGTGTGGGTTTAGGGGTTCAAATGAAGGTTTTCAAAGTTTTGGGTTATTTCAAATTTGAGTTTTCTTTTTAAAATATCTATATATAATTTTATTTTTTAAAATTTTAAAAATTACCAGATTGTGGCACGTGTCACTTAACAGCCAAACTTAATAGTCCGTCACGACCTGATCCAAACTGAGCTACCGAATGAAACGTTAGACATCAAACTAAAAAGAAGGACATATGTTAGACACATTTTTGTTGTTTAAGCCTTTAATTTTAAAGTATTAAGGGGGTGTTTGGTTCAAGGATTGTGGGATTCCCATGGGATGGGAATCCCACATTCCCATGTTTGGTTGGCCAGGAATCTCATTCCCGGTAATTTTTTATTACCAATAGTAGATTTTTTGGGGTATATTACCGGGAATGTCATTACCTACCTTCCCTTAGGTATTGTAACATTACCGGCGTTTTGGACTAAAATGTCCTTAAATTTTTATTTTTTTTCAAAAATATCATTCTTCTATCATTGAATAATAAAAATTCTACGAAGGTTAAATTAAAAATTTATCCTTATATTATTTTAGATTTACAAAAAAAATTCTATAATTAAAATTTTATATGAAGTTCAGAGATTAAAAAAATTTACCCTTTCATTAAACCTTTTTTATATTTTTAATTTTGTAAAAAAATTTATATAAATATTATGAATTTAATTTTTTAAAGAAAATATATAAATATTTTACAATTTGTAATATTATACAAATATATAATAAACACAATTTGGTCAAATATACATTCCAATAATCTTTTATTCCTTTAACTAAACACGGTAATCTTACATTCCTGCTAAACCAACCAAACACAAAATACAACATTCTCAGTAATCCTATTCCCTGGTAATCTTTTATTCCCACTGGTAATCTTACATTCCGTGAACCAAATGCATCCTAAATAAATAGAAAGCAAATCACTTCCATGTTCTTCGAAGTACCGTTGGCAGGATGGCTGCATGGCTGTAAAATGATACAAAACAAATTATGGTTTATTCGAGATCAACTCGGTCAAAGTTCAATAAATATTCGACTCAAACTTAAACTCAACTCGGAAAGTTCACGAGCAGCTCGAAAATATCTATTTTATAAAAAATATAAATTAGTAATAATATTAACATTTATCTGTTGATTTTTTAAAAAAAATAAAGTATAAGGTTTTTATGTATTTAAGGTTCATATCAGAGTTTGAGTTTGAAGTTTCAACCGAGTTAAGTTTAAGATTTTTTTTTATTTTGAGCTTTTTCAAGCATCAATTCATGATTTCGAGTTCGATTCGAGTTTAAAAAATTTAAGCTCGTTAGTTTTCGAGTCGAGTCGAGTTAAGCTCATCAAAACTCGAGCTTGACTCGGCTTGTTTACAACTCTAGTTGGCAGCTTGTCCTTGGTATCGTATTTTTTGTAGTATTGGACATAAATTATGTGGTATGTTGTTTGTTATGTTTTGTTCCGGTTGTATGTTCTTTTTTTTTTTGTTTATTTAGGATTAGAAAAGTTTTTAATGAGACATACAATCAAGGTAGTGAAAATGTTACCACTTAATTATGATGTGATCTTAATTTGATAATTGATCTTTCAATTTTATTAATAAGACCATTTACTTAAATGGTGTTAAGTAATCCCAAGTCCTTAACATTTGTTGTAACAATTGACATGATAATTAATAAAATTAAAATATTTATATATTTTATCATCACTAGTTATATATTTTATCAATTACGTATAATTTTTATTTTATCAAATGGTGGCACTTGCCACTAGTGGTTTGTGTCACGACACATTTCACTATTTAATTGATGGATTAAATTTATTTAATTAAATTAAAATTATGATTAAATTGATAGAATACATATGTAATATGGATTAAATATGTGATTATACAAAAGTTATTAATTGTCACGTTTAGTTCCTCCGTCGAATGTTAACGGTGAATGATTTAATTAACATCATACAAATAAATAAATAGTATGATTGATAAGATTAAAAGATCAGTAATCATATTAGAATCACTCTATAATTAAGTTGTGATAAGTGTATCACTAAAAACGATGACTAAAAACCTTCTTTATTCATAGTGATCCATGTCCATCCATCTTACATGAGGATTATTTAAATACATACTCAATCGAAGGGACAATTTTCACTTATTTAAAGCATCTTCTGATTGTTTTAGCTGGAAACCCAAACGAGGGTATCTCTAAGAATGAAATGGCAAATAGGCTGAGTTCCAGGCTTGACTTTGAGAATCCGAAATGCCATGTGGTTAGGGTTCCAAGCCGAAGTATCTCTGTGACAGACAGCTAAAGCATCGGCTTTCGTCCCATCTTTGCCCACCAATGGGACCTTATAAAGTGTTGTTTTGTTGATCGAATGGCACGAAAACACAGCGCCTGGATACTTCTTCTTGTGGCAGAGAAGCTCATTTTCCCCCACGTTTCGCATTCCCTTGGTGATTATAAACAACGAGTTCTTCGTCTCTTTCGAGAGCTCGTTCGACAGAAGCTGGACTTGTTTCCCGAGCTTTGAAATGCTTAAATCCACGAAGGACACTAATGAAGTGGCGCAGAACCTTTGTTCTCCCTTCATGGCTACTCTCTCACAACCTCCGATTGTTTTGTTCATGGCGTTGGCTGCCCTTGTTCCAGGTTTTACGGAGAAGTGGTTCAAGATTTCTGGCAATTTGTCGCTTGAAAAAGGTATTGATTTGGCAACTCGGTCGTGTAAAAATGGAGTTTTGTTGCTTATTATTAGACCGGGTAAATTCACCAGCTTACCGGAGCGAAGATCCCTTTGGAAGAAGTAAACCGTTTCATGGACTGAATTCATGTTATTGTCCACGTTGAAGTTGTTGATGTTCCCTGAATGTTATTACAGTTATTCTATTGATCGGATTAAGATTTACTTCATAAAATAAATTTGAACTCAGATATATAATGATTTTAAAATGATAATTAAACCTTTATATTCTCTGAGTGGTTTTCCGTTCCAAAGATCAAAGTCGAAAAATTCCGGCACATTGTCATCGTTCCAATCATATTTCTTTGTCAGAGCAGATGGATCTGCATGTCCCAAAATAACTTGTAACGTTAATCTCGGTGCTTCGATATGAATCTAAACTCATACTTTAGGAAAATGATTATTAATCAAATTTGACGATTGCACGGGCACAACTAAGATAATATAAATTTATTTTCGGATTTTTTATTTCGATGATCTTCGTTAAAATCATCACTCGACTCGTTATTTATAAATTATCACTACAATCAGAACTCGAATCATGCAAATAAAAAGGGTTTAAAATTTGAATACAAACCATGTGGCGGTAGGATATCTTTCAATGACTTTGGCATTGGATTGTTTGGGAACACTGATTTCCAATAAGCTTCCTCGGGCACAGCTTCATGGCTCCCAGCAAATACAATCTGAATATAAATATATGAGAATTTTCTGAATATATATTAAACTATATACGTGACAAAAAAAAATTACATTTTAAGAATTAAAACTCACATTGAATAAAGTGAAGGCGAGAAGAAAATAAAATGTCATTGAAAATAGAACAAAAGGGTGATTTAGTGTTTGGACAGAGAGGGTTTAGTACGAAGAATGGAGCGCCGAGTTACATATATTTATACCCATTCATGAAAGCATATTCGTTGTAGGTACTAAAGTCAACTTTCATTGGAATTCTCGGCATTTATTTGTCTTAGAATTTGTATGGCAAGAGATTAGGTATTTTTATTTTGGCCTCATATAAAAATCTATTTTTAACCAACAACTCGTTGGTCTAGTGGGATGAGCCACTAGATTTCTTAAGTAATCTCAAGAGTTCGAATCCTGACGTTTGCGTATAGAGCAAACTGGGTTGGAAGGGTCACCCCCATAATGGGCCTCTGCAAAACCTGATCTGAATTAGTCGATCCATGGATCAGATACTAATGATTAATTCATAAAAAAGTGATTTCTAATATTTGATAAATTAATTATTTTAACATTCTTTTGAGGCTTAAACGTCAAAAAGGTGCCCAATGAATGCCTTTTTTCCAGTTTGCTAATTAATATTTTTTTCGTTCTTAATTGGTGTCTGACGTTTCATTCCGTAATTCAATTTGGGTCAGACAGTGACCGACAGTTAAATTTGGCCGTTAAGCGTCACGTGTCACAACCTGATAATTTTTACATATTTTTATCAATAATAAATTTTAAATAATAATTAGTCAAAATTAAAAAAATTAACCAAAAAAGTCCATATTTGACATATTTTATGGGATAGATGGAGTCTATTATTGTAATTTTTCACATTACCTTATGCGACTCCCTCTATATATAGTTATATACACATACCACTGTGTTGTTGAACATACCTCACTTGCTCGTTGCGCACCCTTCCCGACGACAAAGTCGAGCGCCTCTACGGCCTCGGCCCCGTCTGCAAATTCTTTACCAAGGACGAGGATGGTGTCTCTATTTCCTCACTATGTGTATTGAATCATGAGAAGCTCGTTGTTGATACCTGGTACTGCTTGAACGATGTGGTGCTGAAGGTGGATATCCGTTCCACAAGTTGCATGGCAAGAGCTTGTTTGAGTACGTACGGTGGCACGGATCCGAGGTTCTCCATGGTTTCCATAGGGCAATGTCGGACCACTCTACCATTTACCATGAAGAAGATCCTCGAGACGTACGATGGTTTCGAGGGAATAAATACTCTCGTCAATGTCGGCGGCAGTATCGGTGCTTCGATTAGTATGATCGTCTCCAAGTACCCGACTATAAAGGGCATCAACTTCGATTTGCCTCACATCATTAAGAATGCTCCTAGTTATCCCGGTATGGCACTATCCATACTAAAATTTTGTATCCGTCTTTGCATGTTTCTAATACGAGGTTATTAATGTAGGCGTGGAACACGTCGGTGGAGACATGTTTGCAAGTGATCCGAAAGGAGATGCCATTTTCATGAAGGTTAGTTCAATTAACATATAATCAAACTCCGATGAACCCTAATCCGCAAGTGATCCCGGTGTGACTTATGTACTTATCATACCATGTTATTCTTCTCTTTGACATAATTTTAATGCAACCTAACAATCAAATGCTTTATTTATTTCATAATTAACACACTATCAAGAACATTATAATAATATATAGATAATACATTTTTTTAATTGAAGTAACTGATGTAAATTAATATTATCTTGATTATGGACGTAAATGAACCGATAAGATTGTGCTCGTGTTTGTTTGTTTATTTTTAAATATGTACATGTTCGTTTCGTGTTCATTTATTTATTTTTAAAAGTGTTTGTGTTCGTTTATTTATTGTTCGTGAACATGTCCGTTTAATGTTTCGCGGACATATTCAACTATATATTCGGGAACATGTTCATTTAATGTTCACAAAAATCTTCATTTAACATTCACAAACATATTCGTTTAATGTTTGTGGACATATTCACTTATTTATTAATAAACATATTCATTTAATGTTCACAAACATTGTTTAATATTCGTTTATATATTGAATTTTAGTTTTTATCCTTCCATTTTCAATCTAAGGAAAAATGGTAAAATACCAATAGTGCTTAAACTTCTTGAGATTCATTTTAAAACTCTAAATTTCACCATGTATTTAATTAAGTCACTATCTAATAATTAAAATGCAAAAAATCAGATAGTATTACAAAGCAGCTCAAACTGATATATTACAGTTTGAATGTGTTCCATTCTGACTATGTTGTTCTCGATCCCGAACATGCTCGAGAACTGAGAGCCGGAAGCAAACAAAAGCAAGTGAATCCACACCGGAGGAAGAAATGCTTCTGTTAAAGATCACATTTTACTCACACGATCCCGTTGTCTTTCTGTTCCGGTTTCTCAACGTCAATCCTGTAGAACTCCAGCATTTCTTCTTCCACCGGATGAGTCTTGCCTACTATGACCAGGCAATGGAGAGGTTCGCCGAAATCAGCAGTCCGGAGTTGTCTCATCGTTCCTGCAACAATCTTCTGATCCTCGCTTCCCAACCGAGCAAACCCAACACATTCCGTATCTTCGTCGTATGCTGGAAGGCAACACATGAATAAATACGCTTAGCTGAACTGTTACTTCATATACCTCTCTGTATTTCCCTAAACATGGGTTAAGTTGAAAACATAACAAGTATCTTTTCACGCATATTACAACATAAAATACCAGTATAGATTAAGCTAGTCTTATTCGGACTTAGGTGTGAATATCGGATAGGATACAGATACTTATCCAACATGGGTATATTCAATCTTTTGAAGTTTCTACATGTAAATTTAAGGTCGTTGGAGGGTCATTCCCCGCTCACCAGATTTACCATGCTTTTGCTCAACCTCCAAGAGCTGATCAATGGCAATGTTTATTGTCATGAATCTCGGTGGTTCGTATTGCTTTTTCCCCCTGAAAATATACAAGGCAAAACGAGGATATATAATCAGTCGAAAGCAACGGCAGATATCGAAATGCAAGTATCAAAAGGGATAAAAAAACAGTAGAAGCTACAACATCTAAACAGACCTGCACAAAGATTCCAATGTTGGTTCCTTTACACGAATATCTGCAGAAAGAAGGGAAATGAACTGATTTATGATTCCCGAATCGGGCAAGAGTATACAATAGTATCCCATTTTATAAGGCCTATTAAGTCTATTATAGTCTCTAGTAGATAACTGGAGCAACACTCGGATCCATAACGAAATGGAGAAGACAAAAAAGATGTGCACCGACGTGCTATGCTCGGCAACATGTTTGAGCTTAAGAGAAATAACTCCTACATAATCATATATAGCAGATATAAAGCATACTAAAGTTACATAATGCTGCATGTTCAAGTGACAAATAGTGAAATATGAGAAAATGCAATTAAAAACCTTAAATTAGAGTTAGTGTAAAGCAACATCACCTAAAAGGCAGAGTGTGTGCAATCCGAGATTCCGATTTCTTTCGATTTTCTCATGAAAGCTATCCGGCCTCCATGTTTCGGTGAAAAACGGTATTGAAACTGTCTCCCCGTAACGGTATAGCTGCAAGCCACAAATTCCAATTGCATTCATCACGGATGCATTGTGAACTACCTTGACATCAACCCCCAATGTCTTTGCTCTAACAACAAGATCCGTGTGCGTCGTGGCTCTACAATTTTCTCAATCAAAAGACTAATGAGAAAGCAAAGCAACTAAGAGAAAGATTTTGAGGTGACTAAAGAATAACAACGTAATCGAAGCTCAAGACATGGAGAAACTCCAAGGAAAGAAAAGACCAAGATTATATTCCCGCACACCATGTTCGACCAGGCTCAATCCCGATACTTAAACTAAGTACGGTTTCATCCAGATAAAAATATTTCATTATAAAAATAAAAGAAAGTATGGTAATTACCCAAAAGGATCGCCGACAACAAGGAAAGCAACATCAGATCCCTGAGCCTCTGATAGAATATTGTCTACTTTTTCTTCAACCGTTTCTCTATCTGCAAGTATAATTGGTTTCCCATACAATTTCTCCTGACATTTTAAAAATTCTAGCACAAGTGAAAATTATGAGATTCAAAAGATTCGGAAACTTATCAGGAAAAGAATTATTTTTAGTACCAGAGTGGATAGACCATCTGTAGAAAGACCGAAGGATAGAAGAGATGTATAGGCCTCAATGTACACCTTCTCACATTTCTTCACTGCATCTAAACCTCTTAGAGTAATGTCCCTTTCGTCCCCTAATCCAAGGCCTATAATGTATAACATCTGTGTAGACGGGGAAAAGGGTTAAGAATCGAACTACTAACATCAATATACAGATCTATCAATTTCATTCTCACACTAGCAAATTTCATACCGAAACATCCTTCACCATAAAATTCAAAAAAGGTATAGCGAACTGCAATTATAAATCATCAAAGCCAAGTATTGTAAGCATCAAAAGAGAAATAGAACTGCTCAAACAACATTCTAACACAAAATTTCAGCCACAAATGCTTTAATATCTCCAAAGTTGAAAAATACATAACTCAAAAATCTACATAGAACTTGGCCAATACGGATTCAACGTCCGACAATAGAGTCAAAACCAAATCATAACAATTCCTACTAGAAAACCCATCATTTTTACAGCAAAAACATCAATAATCTATCCTCAATAACCCAAATGAAGCAGCCAAATCATTAACAATTCCAACTCGAAAACCCAAAAAAAAGTTATACCCATCGCATTATTATAAGAGGACGAAACGGGTGTTTTTTTTCTTTCAAGAAGCTCAACTCCCATCTTATTATCTTATAGAGAGGTTCAATGAAAAATCTCAGTAAAAGAAAACACCCAAAGCACAAAAGAACTGAACTTAGCTCACAATTTAATAAAATACACATGAAGCTAAATGATAGAGAATTATCTTCACCTGAACTGTAGAAGAGAAGCTTGACCAACAAGAGAAGCTGACAAACCAAAGAAAGAGCGAAAGGCGAGGAAGCTCCGCTTTCTGGCGGCTTTTTCAATTTTTCGCAGTGTTTTCTCTTAGGGGTTTTCTCTCTCTTTTAGACTAGGTTTTAATACTTGAATTTGCACTTGTACTATTGGTTAATAATCACTATGCTACTTCCAATTATTATTTTTAATCACTTTGGTACTTATACTCACATGTCTTATTGTTTTTAATTTTTTTATTGATCGAATTTAGATTTCGGATTTGTATTAGAGTTGATGTGCCTAAATTTAATTTTAAATTAAATTATAGTATAGAGATAAATCAATTTGTATAATTCTTTACAAAATTTTAATTAATTATGTCATGGTAAGAAATTGCATCACATCAGTTAAGGTGACAAATGACCCTTTTAAATTAATTATGGAAATAAAGTCAGATATCAGACAAACTTGCTATAATTAAGAATTACTAATGAAGAATTCCATCATTAAAGAAAAAAAATGATATATTGGTCCTGATAATTAGCTAGTTAATTTACAACCGAGTAAGAAATGATAAGCCATCCGCCCACAAAACCAGATATTTGTATATTTTTAATATTTAAATAATAATCTTTAGTCACGAACCAAACGATATTAGTGATAAAAAAATTTATCGTTCTTCTTTGAAATTTTGGATTCAAGCATTAGAAAGAGCATTGGAATGAACGTTTAATGTCAAATACTTTATAATTATCTTATATGTATCTCATATTAATAAAAAATAATGATAATCTTCAGGTTTAAAATTCCAGTTAGAATTTTTAACCTTAGGTATTTTTTTTTGCTACTAATATTTTTTTATCTTTGAGATCAAAGCCAATATCAATTTTAATGTTAGTTATTGATTGTTGATATTAATTATTTATTATTAGTATTGTATCATATTGTTTTTTATTAATAATTCTACCATTATGACAAAACTTTTTTAATGTTTTTATGGTACGTTTCACTCTGTCTTCTAGTACGTTTTCGGTTGTTTGATTGTTATTTTTATTTATCCTTTTTCTCAGGGTTTGATTTAATATAACCACGACCGATTAACATAGCGCTTATTTATCATTATGTTGATATTCCCTGCTTTGGATCATCGAATTAGATTTAGATACATAATTTACGTTCGTGGATAATTTTCTCATGTTGCTCGATTTTGATTTGCATTTTGTTGTTAGCCTTTAAATGAATTGATCCCCTTTTATAATTCGTTTATCGATGCATCCAAATCTGTTTATATTATGTGTTTAGTTCGATGTTGTAGCTGTAAGCTTTCATTATAACTTGAATATTTTTTTTATTTAGTAAAACTAGTGGCTTGTATCTTGTCAACAAAATTATTTAATTTATTTTAAATTCATGTAAACTACACTCATGACTATTCAATTAAACCATTTGCTGTTAGCATTTGATAGAAGAGCTAACGTGACAGTTGATTAAATTAATATAATTATATATTCAGCTCTTATTACTTATTTATTTCATCAATTTGGTTCTATTTTTAATTTAATTCAATAAATTATATCATTCAATCAGATAGTGACACATTGTCACTAGACATGAAAACTGACATGTCTTTATCATACATGTGTCATCATCTTATTATAATATTAATTTATTGAATTAAATCAAACTTTGGACTAAATTGATATAAAGTGTAAATAAAAAAGATTAAACATATAATTATATTAATTTACTAACTATCACGTTGACTCATCGGTCAAATGTTAATGATAGATAGTTGGATATATATTTGGCACCATTTAAATAATTAAGTTTAAATGACAAAATTAAAAGGATTAATGATCAGATTAAAACCCTTTAAAATTAAGTGATCACAATTATAGCTTACCCTTAAATTTATTTATTTTACATTCTTAAATTTGAACCCGACCTCTTAATAAATTTTAAATAAAATATAAAAATTCTAATATTCAAGGACGAACTAGGATTGGTACATCACATTCTTTTTTCTTCAAATAGGTTTAGAGATTTTTTTTTAAAACTAAAAGATATTTAAACGTTGGAGCTAATGAGGCTTGACCATAGGTACTGCCTTCTAACTGAATCAAAGATTGAATCTCCTCTAAGGGTCTGTGTATACGAGATGCTCCTGTGTTTCCATCATACCATACGGTCTGCAATGAGATCCTTAACAATAATAAAGCCTATCATTCCTTTCAAAAAAATAATAATAATTTAGATACTTAACAAATTTAAGTATTGGATCAATTATATTTATGTCAATAAATTATAAGTTTAAATACTTAATATTTTTTAATTCTAGTAATTCAATCCTTTCAATATTGTATCCCAGCTCTTGCTGGTATTAAACACCATCAAACCAAAATCTAAGCAATGGTCAGTTCATAGTCATCAAACCAAAAACTCCATCACTCGCAACAAGCATTAATCATATATATATAACACAAAATTCTGAAAAAAATAACAAAAACTCAAAGCTTATGATTTATATGCAAACCGTAAGAGTGATTGGCTTCAAATTTCAATAGTATATCACAAAAATAAATGAAAAGAAAAGAGCAGAAAATCGAAGGAAAAAGTTGCTCCAGAATCATCTATTATGCAAAGGATTTGGACCTGTATGAACTTTTCTCTTTTCATCACCAACGACTTCATCTTCATAACCTCGATTTGATGCTTCAAATCCACCATTAACAGGCATAAATTCTCGAGAAGAAGAAGCTGCAACGGGCTCGAACAAGCTCGAAGAAGAAGAAGAAGATTCCAAGTGAGCAAACAACAAAAGAAGAAACAGAAGGAAGCAAAGGAGCTTTCTGCTGGAACACATCATCTCATCCAGGGGGATTAATCATCAACAAGCCGATGTCTTTTTCCCTTTTGAAAAAAACTAACTGGTAACCCTCCGCAAGGGGTACTACAAACACAGCCTTAAATGTGTTTTGTTTTAAGTGTTTGAGGTGCCAGGGCCTTGGAGTTTGAGCTCTGAAAATGAAACAACTTGACAATATTAGGGAGGGGGAGAGAGTCAAAATGCATAGGTTTTGGTGATGAAAATGAAGGAGTTTGGGGTTGGAATTTGGAGAGTGATGATTTGAGAGGCCATTCAGCTTCTCTGCTTTACCTGGGAAATCAAAATCTGTGTATGAACCACAGAGCAAATGGGTTGGAGACTTGGCTGTGATTTTTGTTGCTTTATAATTCAAGTGTTGGATGTCGTGGTAAAGTGCAAAAATACTGTGGGAATGAAATTTTAAGGGTAAAATATAAATAGTAGTAATAAAATAAGAATTTTAAAGTTTTATTTTGATTAATCTTAATCGACTCGAGTCGTACATCTAATTTTGTTGGATGAGTTTTCTAACGAGGATTTTCTACATATACAAGCACTCGAACTCAATATATATTTAAGCGATATCAAATTGCTTACCTCTTAAATCAACCCTTGTCGGTGGAATCATAATTTCATTGTTAGGGATTGTAACTTAAATTTTATTTTATCTAAATTTCTTTAAAGAATTTGTATTTAAATCAACCTGTTCAGGTTTTTGTCCTTTTGATTTGTGATCAAGTGTTTATTATTATCCTCCTAGTTACGTAATATTAATTGTTAAGTTATCAATTTAGAAATTAAAAAATAGAGTTAAATGTCTATGTTGTCCAAATTTAAATTGAAATAACTTAAAAAATATTTAAATTTAAAAATAACAAATTGAGGCTTAATTTATTTAGATTCAAAATTAAGAAAACCTAAAAATAAAATTTAGCACACAAAAAAATTGAGAAGCCAAAGCTTGATGTTTCTATTTTGGAAACTAATATCGCTTCGGAACAAAAGGTACTAAAAAAGCAATTACACCTAAAATATTAGGGTACCAGTACAACTACCATCTAGCTATGGACATGGGTCAAGTTGGCTCGAGTTTCTAATAAATTTAACTTGAATTGATTCAAGTTTAAGAATGCTCCACTTGACTTATTTTTGGAAATAAAACTCACATTCGATCCAATCCAATATGAATACATATATATGAAATCTCATTTTTCATTCAATAGAATAAAAATGTAATTTAAAAATATATATGAAGATGAATATTATTGTAATTATCTTTAAAATATATATAAAAAATAATTATATTATTATCTCAAGTCGGATCACGAGGTTTTTATCTTAAATCTGACTTGATATCATCTTAAAAAAATAAACTCGACTTAAATTCAAATTTACAAAAACAATCAATCTTATAAAATCAGCTTAAATCAAAACTCGTCGATATTATATCCCTACTCCCACCATACATGTGACTTAATTTTTTTTTTGGTTGTCCTCCCGATTCCAACTCTTTGCCCTAATTAATCCGGACCGACCTGCATCACACACCTGATTTTGGTAGGTGACTCTCCCAACAGAGAATTTTTGCATACACACAGACTCAAACCTAAGACCTTACTTAAACAGAATCAAGTTGCTTACAACTCGAACTAACACCGTTGATCATTGCATTAAATTTTTAGTAAAACACGTTATACTTCTAAACAAAGAACTCTTTGAAAAATAATTATGAATCTTAAATATAAATTGTATAATAATAAATAATGACATTAATTTATATTTATGATTACGAATTATATGTAAAGATTTGTTTAAAAAATTACAATATAAAGATAAAAAGGTCCATCAATCTTTATTCCAACCTCATCATTTCACCCCTTTCTTCTCATTCTCTTTGTCTTCCTCCCCATCATTGCTTAAGACTTTAATTTCTCTTCTTTTTTTTTGATAATTCAAAGTTTTTATTATCTAAAATAACACAGTCATGCTACAACCAATCAACCAATCAACAAAAACAAAACAACCTAATTACAAACAAATGATTGGTTAGACTATACTCCAATCATTACAAAGGTTAAAGTTAGTATTATCAAGTCTGTTAATAGTTTTGTCCCTAAGTCGGATACCAATAATTTCAATGATGTCTTTAAGAATAGCGTCAATAACCCGATAACGATCTTGAAACGTTCTCTGGTTCCGTTCCTGCCATAAGTAATAGA